GTCTGAGGGAGGAGGCTGGGCCTGGACCCTGGGTCTGAGGGAGGAGGGCTGGGCCTGGCTTCCTGGTCTGAGGGAGGAGGCCTGCCTCTTGTGAGCCTCCTCTCTGCAGAGGATTGGTGGTGGCAATCCCTCGGTATGACAGGCTTAGGGGGATCAGGAGAGTCTCAGGGAGGTGAGATGAGTGGGAAGACCTGGGGAATGTTGGTGGGGAGGAAATTCTGGGAGAGAAACAGGAAGGACAGGTAGGAGAAGCAGCTCCTGAGCTGGAGAGATCCCTCTGTCAGCAGCGTCTGAGGTGTGACTGCCCAGAGTTGTCCAAGGGCAAGTGGCTAGGAGGCCACCTGCCTCTGAGTCACAGGAGACTCCCCTGCCCCTTCGAGAGCCCCTTCCCCATCTTTGTGGAGCAGGAGCCCACTCACCACCTCCTTCCTCTGGCACCTGGACACGGGTTGCTGATGTGGGCAGGCCTCTGGGGCTCCCCTTGTCCTGTTACCTGCCACCCACCCCTTTCTCCCTCCTGTGTGTGGCTCAGGAGATGCTCAGAGCATTTTCACATCCTGCTACCTGATGTAGTGGGCAGCTCCTCTCCTCCTTCTTCCCACCCTTTCTATCTCCCACTTTACAAATGAGAAAACTGAGACCCCCGAAATGGAGAGAAATGATGACCAGGTGTGGAGGAGAGACCAGGCTCAAAGTCAGACACACTTTCCTAGAGTCTCCTTCCTCAAGGAGTCCTCCCTGGCAACCTTAGGACTTTGGAGCTTTCTCAACCCTATTTTTCAGGCTATGAATATGCACATCCATAAAGGAGTCAAACACCACCTGCAGGTTGGCACATGTCCTTCCAGGTTTTATTCCGTGAACATTTCATTTTACATATATTCTACATGGTTAGGATCACATAATTTTTTTTGTGGTTTTCTTTCATTTAACATCATATAGTGTAAACATTCTTGCATGACACAATTCTGCCTGAGTATTATTTTTAATAACTTCGTAACCTCCTTGGACAACCTGACCCAATGTCTAGACAAGCCATTCCTTTGGAACGTATTCAGTGTTTCCATGATTTTGCCACAATACATAATGTGGTGATGGATTCAAACCTCATTGATGTTTTTTTAAATTTTGGTACTTTCTCCCTAGAATTGGAGCTACTGGGTCAAATGCACTAAGTGAGGTTTTCAATTCATGTTGCCAAACCACCTTCCAGAAAGGTTGTACAAATTTACTGCTCCAGCGTTTGAGAGTGTTGGTCTCACTGCGTTTTCCACAGCACGGAGGGTTTTTATTTTATTTTCTTACTTCTTTGGGTTTTAGAGCCTTGCTATTTTGACAGGTTTATAAACATGGTGTATTGTGGAGGTTTTATTATGTCTTTAAGGAAAGAAAGTCAGATATGACTTTACAGGTCATCCACGTCCTTATCTCCGCAAGCTTTCTGTTTCAGAGCACACGGTGATGTATTCACTCTTGGTGTTGCATTAGCGATACCTTTTCATGGTCTCTTTTATCCAACTGGTAAACTTGCAGACTTGGGTGTAGACACCTGGGTCATTGGGTTGGCCACAAGGGAAAGTTCCCCAGGACACTATACCTTGCAGGGTACCTTTGCACACCAATGGTCCTCCTGAGTCACCCTGGAGGGAATAAAGGAGGGGAAATGGATTAGCTTTGGATTCAGAGCAAAGCCCCCTAGAGGCCTAACTCAGTCTTCTACACCAGCTCACGGTCTTTGTCTTGCCAGACCATTGGCTTCCACTCTGGCCAATGAGAAGAGACTCATCTCTGTGAACCAATGGGAGAGCAGGAATTAGTACCCTAGCAGAATGGACAGACCAGGTCCTGTGAAGACATTGGTTTGAGCCTGGCCAACGCAGCCAATCTCAGGAAGGGGGCGGGGCTCCCAAGGATGCGTAGGCCATTAATTTTCCCACACAAGGTGTTTGATAAGGACTTGTTCCAAGCCAGTGGGCAGAGGAGCATTTCTTCAGTGGAATGATGTATGACCCCTCCTGCATGAAGTGGGCCAGGGAATTCCAGGACAGCAACAGGGGAGCTTTAAACCAAGCGTGGGACCCTCTGAGTGTGAGACTCAGGGTCCTTACACAGCTTGTGCATTCACGAAGCCAGCCTTCAACAGAGGAGGGAAGGATGCCCACTCTGTCCAGAACATGCTCTCGTCCCTAATGACACTGTTCTACCTCCCCTAGAGCTGAAAGGGAGGAAACATGGGCAGGTGGGGACCAAGCCTGCCTAACACAGAGACAACAAAGAGAAAGAATGAAGTTGGGCATAAAGAGAGAGATGTGGGGAAACGTTCAGAGACAGAGGGTGGTGACAACAGATGAGGAAGAGGGGACCGGATCAGGACAAGGGTCAGGCAAGTGAGGAATTAGCATCAGGCATAAAATCTCAGTAATCACAGTAAATAATGCTTTAAGATAATACTTTCAAGATCAAATGTAAATCAAAAAACTACCACCTGGATGACACAATAGCAAATTTTAAATAATAACAGCATCAGTCCCAGGCTGTGCTGAACCAAGCTGGTGCCTGAAGCAAAAGGATATTCAATAAAACAAATCCACTTTTCATTTAAAATTGTGACACTCTGTTCATTGTGGGCTTTTTGCATGAATAATATTAAAAATGTGTTGCTTAGAATATGATTTATCTTAATCACTGAGTTTTTGGTGCCTGAGGCTGCTGAGTGGCACCACCCATCTTTTTCAGTCCCATTGAACTCTGCACATGCCCAGGGTCGCAGCAGTCCCTGGGTGGGTCCTGCCCCTGACCTGGCAGAGAGAGGGGTAGAGAGAGCTGAGGAGGCCAGGCCTGCAGAGACGGCAAGGGCAGGTTCAGAGCTGAGAGGAGGCAGGCAGGGCGGCGGCTGGAGGGGGTGCTCACGTTGCAGGTGTTGGTCTTGGAGTCAGGGACACCAGCACACAGCATGGTTTTCCCCAGGAGGTCCTTGTAAACCTTCTTGCAGTCCTTGGAGGAGATGAGCTGCACATCACTGCACATGAGTGCTGCTGGAAAGGTCACTGCAGGGAAGGGGACAGTGTCAGTCAGAGGCGTGGGTGCCCGGGCTGCTGGTGCTGATGGGGAGAGGATGGGGCCAGAGTACCCATAGGGCCAAGGCCAGGCTCCCAGATCTGAGGGAGGAGGGCTGAGCCTGGACCCCTGGGTCTGAGGGAGGAGGCTGGGGCTGGACCCCTGGGTCTGAGGGAGGAGGCTGGGGCTGGACCCTGGGCCTGAGGGGGGAGGCTGGGCCTCGACCCTGGGTCTGAGGGAGGAGGCTGGGGCTGGACCCTGGGTCTGAGGGAGGAGGGCTGGGCCTGGGCTCCTGTCCCTGAGGCAGCCTCACCATCAGGGCTGGTGGTGGTGCCCCAGCCAGAGACAGTACATGTGGTGCCCGGGGGTTCGCAGCTGGAGGGCAGGTCGACCTTCTTCACTTTTGACGACAGCCTGGCCGGGCTGTTTAGCCTCACAAGCATGAGGTCGTTCGCGTGGGTCTTGGTGGAGTAGCCAGGGTGTCGGAATGACTTTGAGGCCCTGATCTTCTGGGCACTCTTGTCCCCCAGCCGATCACTGCCCAAGTGCACGTTGTACTCACTGGGAGAAGGAAGTGACATTCAGAGACTGACAGAGGGAAAGGGACAGGGACCCAGAGAGGGGTGGAGGCCTGGCAGCTCCCCCGCTGGCCGCGCCTGGCCACCTGCCTCATCCTGCAGTGGGCGGCGGTGAGCACCCAGCGCTCGTCGAGCAGCACGCCCCCGCAGTGCAGCTGGCTGTTCTTGAGCAGGGCCACCTGCCACGGGTGGGAGCCTCTTTCACACGGGAAGCCATCGATGATCTTGTCCCCACTCTTGTCACCCTGATCTGAGGAGAAACGTGGAGACACGTGCGTGAATGGCAGCAGAGCGGGGGCGGGGCAGCCGCCGGGACGCAGGGCGGGATGCAGACGCCAGGGAAACGCACGCGGATGGAGGACGTCCTCAAAGCCCGCGGGAGCGGCTCATCCCAGGCCGAGAGGATGGAGAGACGCTGACGGGAGGAGACAGGGCCCTGGGCAGGCAGGGGCCCCTGGAGTTGGGAGGAAGCCGCAGAGAAGGGGCACAAAGCCAGGCAGCCCCCCAGGGGAGGAAGATGCCCCGGAGGAGGGGGCGCCGACCCAGGGATTGCTTGGAGAGCTTCAGGGGGGATGCGGGGAAGGGCCTCACCGTCTTGTCCAGCAGTTCCCAGGGCTAAGGACAGCAGTAGAATTAGCAAGGACGGGAGAAGGGATCCCTCCATGGTGCCTCTCAGGGACTGCCAGATGAGGACTGGCCCCTGCTGGATCTGAGAAGGGGAGAGAGTTCAGGACATAGGAGTTCAGCTCAACCCTAACCCTCAGGCCCAGGAGTCCAGCCTCCTCCCTCAAACACAGGAGTCCAGATCCAGCCCTCCTGCCTCAGACCCAGGGGTCCAGGCCCAGCCTCCTCCCTCAGACCCAGGGGTCCAGGCCCAG